CTACGGAACTAGTCAAATATTTTGAAGCAAATTTTGTAATCGATGATGACAAACTAGACATCTTACAGTGGTGGAAGAGCAAAACAGATCGTTTTCCAACACTGTCCATAATAGCTCGTGACATTCTGACAACTCCAGTGTCAACGATAGCATCGGAGCAAGATTTTAGCGCAAGCAACCGAATTCTTGACGGGAAGAGAAGCAGAATGCATCTAGATATCTTGGAGGGACTAATGTGCGTTAAAGATTGGGAAGATGCCAGAAGACGAAAACAACAATACACAGATGATTCGATGCAAGAATATTTTTCTAACTTAGAAATAACAGAATCTTCTGGAAGCACTTAGGTTTGTAATTTACTATTCCTAGCTACTGCACTCTTTTTTCCTTCGCTAAGGTTTTGTCCCGATCTCCCCACGGGTTTTACTTAGCAAGGTTTTTAACGAGGCAGTCATTTACGTGTACTCCTATTACGTCAATTCAATAAAATCACATTTTTTGGGGCATTTGATATTTTTTTAATTAAATTAAAAAAAACAAGGGTCGGGGCCGGCCCGTGAAGGGCCTGGGCCTAGGTCCGGCCCTGGCCCTTATGGACTAGGGCCAGGGCCTGGACCGGGCCTGAGTTTTTCTTCTCAGGCCCGGCCCAGGCACGGCCCTGCACTGTGCAGGGCCGTGCCTGGCACGGCCCAAGCCCGTGATGGGCCTGGGGTCAAGCGTGCCGTGCCGGCCCGGCACGGCACGTTTGACAACTCTATATTCACATACCTTTTTTGTATTCTCCACATCCATCTTCTAACTACACACTCTATATAATTTTTAAATTATTAAATTTATTTTTTACACACCTATTCATCTTAAATTACCCCTACTCACTTTTATAAAATTAATTAATTCTTGATCATTTTATTTTTCTTTTCATACCCATCATTTTATTTTAATTTGTTATTTTAATATTATGACACATCTATCACTATTTTTTGTTGAAGCATTTGGGCAAGAAGTTTTTGTTTTTTGTTTTTCTTTTAAAGTTCAATAGAGGATTTTTTTTTTACTGGAAAATTTTCAACAAAGGATTTCATTAACTAGTAGTAGAGTTACAAACAATTTAGGAGGAGAAAAACAACTCAAAAATAACGAAAAAAAAAAAAAAAAGACAACATATATATACGTGTGTATATTTCCATACGCCTAGAAAAGAAAAAAATGACAAAAGGAAAGACAATAAAAGAGTATATGAGCACAACCACCGGCAGCAGCAATAATAATAATAATAATAACGGCGAATGGGAAAAACGCAATAAGATTTTTATAAAGTACGAAACAAAAGTGAATTGATTGACCTTTAAAAAATGATTTGGAATACTCGTTTTTGTTATAGATATCAAAATAGTAATAATTTATAATTTAAGGATATAAAATGTGAAGTGTGTGGAGAGAAAAAAATAATTTATTTTTATAATGAAATTTAATTATATAATTTAATTCTATTGTCTTTTTTGTCATTTTATGTTTGGTCTATTTATAACAAGAAAATTTCGTTTAAAGGGTGGTGTGAAGAGTGAAAAAATGATCTTAATAGAACTTTTATTTATATTTTAATCTTTAGGTTTTTATTAGATTCAAAAAATGTAAACATCTTTCACCAATAATTTTTCAATTATTTCTGATTGAATTGCTTTAAAAATGGATTAAATTGCGTTAAAAATGCATATGACTAAAATAAGTATGTTTTATTCTAATAATTAAAAAAAATACAAATATTATTGTTTTAGTTTTATTTATTTATTGAGGTAAACATTCATAATTTTTTACAGTGAATTTTTTAAATATAATTTAATTTTAGAATTAATTTTATTAGTGTCATCTGAACTTTAAAGTCACTCTCACTTTATCACTTAAATTATGAAAACTCTCACTTTGTTCCTAAATTTTAAATTTGTCCCATGTAAACCATTTCATAAGAATATATGTTAAAATTAGACAAAAAAGATGTGGTTAATAACAATTTCCACTTTCCCTAAAAAAAAGAGTTAAGTTTGACCATATAGTATTTATTTCTTTGTTAACAGAAATTCAAATAGAAAATTATATAACTACATTACTCTTTTTTTCTTTATGTTTTTAACATATATTATAATAGAAAAAATTAAGTAAGAATAATTTATATTTTAAAAAATAAAGTAAGAAATTTTAAAAATTTAAAAATAAACTGAAAATAATCCTAAAATTTAAAAGCTACCTGTCATAATAATCTTTAATTTTATTATCTCAAATATATCTAAAATAAATAAAATTATGAGTTCCAATTGTTGCTGGTACAGTGCATTTATTAAAGCATGGTCGTTATGGAGAATGGAGATGCGAACAAAAGCGAAGTTTACCGTTGAGGCAAATGCCCCTTTGAGCATCTCCAAATTAAACTGTTAATATTAATGCTATATTTTTGTTGTCAAAAAACGCAAAGAAAAAAAAATATTTGATATGTTATTGTAATTTATAATTCGTAGTTTAATGTTACTTTTTTAAAAGAGTGTAATGTTATTTTAAATGCTACAATTATTTATTTATAATAATTATTAAGTTTTAAAAATGATAAAAGTAAAATTTCAATTAAAATAATTTGGGAAAGCCTATAATATAACAATTAGATTTAAAATTAATACATCAACCTATAAAAATTAAATATTAAATTTAATATATGTTATATTTGATGTAAAATTTACCATTAAATCTAACATATAACATATTTAATATAAAAAAATAATATATTGAAAAGTGATTTTTTATTCTAATTTTAAAATTTTATGTTGACACTCTGAATGTGCTCTTACACCATTGTATTCTCTTCTAGAATTATCTTGACTTTAATCTCAAGGAAAAATTTTATCAAATACTTACCTAAAAAGAAAAGAAAAAGGAAAAGAAATACTTACAAAAAACTGGGGGCCAAAGCCCACAGTGAAAGTAATACTGAATTGGGGAGTACGTGGAATCAAAAGAGAGGGAAGTGTCAAGTGTGTGATAATGGTAGACAGATACGTGGCAGTCCGTTTAGTTTTTCCAGAAACCTGTCAGATTAAAAAATAAAAAAGGTCCAACCGTATTTTACTAATAATATTATAAAATTTTCTCCTAAAAAAAGTTATTTTAGCAGTAACTAGTAAGCGGCATTGAGCACATAGCTTTCTCAAATACCGTTGGATTCCCGATAAACCGAATATCTTAACCCTCGGTTTAACTAACCCAACCGGTTACCTCTGGTTAGGTTTAGCCTTTCTTAGGACTAGTATTTTTAATTTCCTTATATTTTTTTTGGGGTTTGCAATTATACCCTTCTTTAATTCTGTAATGCGATTTTGGAAATGCCATTATTGTATTTGTGCTTTAAAGTCTTACCAATTAAAGACATCCATTGAATTTATGCAGGGACTTTTTTTTTTTTTTTTTTTTGCAATGCCCATTCGTTTCACTTGGTATTTCAGCCAAAAAAAAAAAAAAACCAAAGAAAATGTTTTCAATTGGTGATGTATGAAATATGAATGAAGGAAGATTGACAATAGCAATAATCACATTAATCCTATGCCATGTGCTCTATGGGTTTTGATGATTAAGTACAAAATAAGAGTAATTAAATGCCTTAAATAAAGTAATTAAATGCCTATTCAATTTAATAGTATTCCAGAAAGTTTAGTATCTTTTTTAAGTATTACCATAATAAAAAGGAGGAATAATCAAATGTTTTTCATTTTTGTTTTTGGTTAAAATTAGAAAATGGTATAAAACTAAGCAATTTACAAGCACCGTATTTTAAATTTTCAATAATCTTTCAATAAGTTTTTTATGAAAACTAATTAATGTGTTTGGAGTTATTTTTGTTTTTGTTTTTCACGTTTTTTGAGAAAGAAAAAATGAAAACGGAAGAGAAACGGCGTTTGACACAATTAAAGACAAAAAACAGAAATGAAAATAATTTTTTGGTTTAGTGTAAAATGGGAGAGAAATGAAAAACAACTTTTAGTCATTTTTTATTTTTTGTTTCGTTTTCTCCTCTCTTGAGTAGAGAGAAAGAGACATTAATGGATTTTTTTTATATTGAAAATAATCTCTTGATAAAACTACCAAACGCATTTTCAAAAATGATTTCTGTCTGAGATTGAAAACGTTTTCATTTCTATTTTCATAAAAAATAAAATCATTTTAGAACGAGTTCTAAACGCACATAATATTTCTTTAACTAAAAACAAGACTACTTTTCCAAAAAGAAAAAAAATAATAATTAGGCTTATGCTCGTCGCTCAATTATTTTGTTCTTAAGCCTAGGTTTATTTAACAAAAAAAAAAGAAAAAAGTTTTTCTTTTCTATAAAAAAGATCTAAAAGGGAATAGAAATATTGGAAGTGAAAAAAAATCATTAGAATTGTATTTTTTAAAGGTGATTGTATTTTTTTTAGATGAACAATAATGAAGGACCTTAACACGTACGTCAATAAACTAGTAAATTAAGTTTTTTATCTATCGAATCTGTCTAAAATCACAAAAAAATTAAAAAATACGTAAATTCAACGGTTAACATATCGGTACACCAAGCGTATATGATTATAGATACTATAAAAAATAAACAAAATCTTTTTTTCCCTCGTGCAGAAAAGAAAAGGCATGAAAAGGAAAATAGTATGAATTGTAAGTAAGAAAAATCATGAGAATATGCTATAATCATAGTATATCTATAAATATATATATATATATATATTGAACAAATAAAAAGAGAGAGACAAGGCCAATACAGAAAACAAATGAAAAAGTAAGGGTATGGCTACAAATAATTGGAAGAAATATCCCTTACCCGTTTCTATCCCACGAAAATATCGCGATATATCAACAAAAGAAAAAACAAAAACGAGTTTCTCCCTCACCCATCTCCTCCTGAAATACTATAAATACAGGGCTCGAGTGAAGCTAAGTTTGCCGAATTAGGCAGCCAAACAAGCTTTTTAAAAGAAAAAAAAAAGGAAAAAAATATTCTGTCTTTCTCGCTCCTTACCTAAACTTTCTCTCTCCACTGCAAAAAAGAAAAAATGGCGATTTCTTCTAGAAAATCGAGCGGACCTGTACTCCGTTCCCTTTCTCCGTCGGGAAGATTCTACAGCTCTCAGTACACCTCGTCGCCTTCTTCCTCCTCCTCGGCGTTCGCTTCGTCGAGCTCGAGATTCTCCTCCCGTTCCGCGACTACTTTCTTCCACCGTTCGGCCTCCCCCACGCGCGTCAACGTCCGCGGCGGCGCGCCGTCCGCGTCCTCCGTGCGGTTCTCTCTCGACCGTCCGACCTCTCCTAGCCGGTCGATCTCCGTCGGCGTGAAGAGCAACCAGGTCGTGAAGAGGCAGAGCAGCCAGAAGCGGACGTGTCTGTGCTCTCCGACGACTCATCCAGGCTCGTTCCGGTGCAGCCTCCACAAGAATTTCGGAAACTCTCACCACACGGCGGCGGCGCCGTACTCGCCGAACCGCCTCAACGCCCGGAGGTCGGCGATGACGAACTCGCTCGTGAGAATCGGCAGCGTCGAAGGCGATCTGGTGAAGCGAGCCTTAGCGGCGTTGATCCGGCCGTCGTCGCACCAGCAGCGGCGGCGTGGCGACTTCCGGCCGAGGCCGAGCCGGCTCTCGGTCATGTCCAAAGCCGGAGTTGAATATTCTTGATCGCGATTTGGTATGTAGATTCAAACAGACTCTTCGATCGTGTATGCTATTCGGTACCCTAGCTCTAGGCCTAGCTAGGGTACTTCTTTTTCTCTCTCCGAGTTTTCCCCGGCGACGGAGGCAGCAAAAAGTTCCAGCCACAAGCGGTGGTGGATTTCTGCAGCGAACGGCGGCGTCAGAGTTTTCCGGCGGATTTTGGCTTGTGAGATCTGACGATGAGCTGTGCGATTCGGAAACGGACATGGTTTTTGTGTACTCCGGTGACCGAAGTTTCTATACAGGACGATAATATAGCTCTCTCTGTATATAAAATATATCTATAAATCATATGAGTTGCCGCGTTTAATGGTGATTCAACAAGCTTTCGGACCTTAATCTCTACATAACCATAATCAATCCATTTAATCTAAACTTAAACTAACTGATTAATTTGTTGAAAGTCATTCAACATATATAATTCGGCGTTAGCAGTCAAATTCCATTCCATTCCATTTCTTCAGCATCCGTGTATTTGTTTGCTGCAAACTCGTTATTTTTGCCGTTCTGTTTTAACGTCTTTTCTTTCCTCTTTCGTTATTTTCAGCGTATAGGTGTTCTACGTATTGTTATTCGGTTGCTGTGCCTTGAGCTACGTATTTCCTTCGCCACTGGACCAGATGCGTGAACCAGGTGAGTTTTTTTTTTTTTTTTTTTTCAATTATTATGGTTGATTTTTTTAGGTGTATCTTTGAATTACGTGTTTAACTCGAATTTTTTCCTTTGCAGGTATATATCTGTGCTTTGTGCTTGTTTTCCTTTGCAGGTGTATTTACCTTTGCTTTTTGAATTTGGAAGGAAATCGATGGATCGGACCTGAAAGCTGAAAAGAATTCAAATATTAAATTCCCTGATAAATAACAGAACAAATAATTATTGGAATAAAAATAATTTGAAGTTTTAAAATTAAACAAGCCTCTAGTCGTTGTGCGAGAGGTACCTAACCTTAACTAGCTGATCAACTGAATAATGTTTTGATATTAAAGTTGTACTTAAACGCAATTTTTTTTTTTTCCAAAAAAAAAGTAAGAGTTGGTACTTCTACAATTAAAAACATTTAAATCAAATAAATCCCTTCGTCACAATCAATCTTATCCCACCGAAATTAAAATAGCGAAGGATGGCCCCTCTGCATGACCGCAACTATTGACTAAGAATTCTTTATACTGTGATGGGCACAGGCCATTTAATTATAATGACTGATACAATTAATTATTTTAATGAGATTAGGTTATTTTTATTTTATCATTTGAATTTAAAATTTAAATTTTATTATAGTAAAATTTTTTTAAAAACAGTTACATTTAATTTTTTTATTATAATAAAAAAAATTTATATAAAGTTACATCTCAAATTAAATTAAAAATTTGAATCAGTAAATTAAACGGACTCTAATTTTCTTTAGGAGGTCGTGAAATTAGAGATCTGCACTGGAACGTTACATGTGGTTGATTCAACCTTCACCTGAACAAGAGTGAAAGCTACAGTTGGTGATTTTTTCCCTGAAGTTGGTGATTAAAAGAATTTAATTAAGGAATTTTGATTCATAACTCTAGAGATCCATTATAAAAAAAAGGTGGAACTCAAATCCATAGAATTCTGTAATAAGATATAGAAAGATTTTTAAATAAAAAAAAATCACGGTAATAGAGGTACAATTCAACATTTGTCAATACCTTATATTTTAGTAATATGTTAATGAATTATGTTGCCGATACCAACTCACCAAAAGAAAAATTAGAATTATAGTTGATATTTCTATAAAATTTTACTAATTTAAAAATCAAACAGAATTTAAGAAAAATTCCATAAAAGTATTTGTAAGACTTATTAGGCATGTGTAGTATGTACAAAATGAGACCTACCGACCCGTTATAAGTGCGTCAACGAACAAAGCACAAAGCTCGTGAACGTCAGTCACACGGACAATCCCAAGAAATTGCTGGGGATATCTTGAATTCTCTTTGTCATCAGAGTGGCATGATAAGCCAAAGGGGTATTTCATGATTCCATTGCTTTAAAATTCTCCACAAGAAGAAAAACATCACATTTTGTAGAGACAAATCAGGAGTCTTGAAGAACTGTTTCGATGGCGCCAAAAGCATATCGACCATGACATCTTTCTGGAGAGCTTTCGACTTTACCAAAGCCCGCCAAAAAATAAAAATAAAAACGCACTCCAATGGCCGGGAAGATAAGGTTTTGAAAATGAAAGATGTGGTTGCGCAGATGCCAGATGGTAAATGGCTGGCTGTTTTTATTTATTATAATTTATGGGTTTTGGTTTTGGTCTCTTTGTCTTTTAACTGTGGTGGTGGTCCCGGGAAAAAAAAGAATCACTTATCCAACCGGGAATTGAGGTGTCACGACAAAACAATAGTCAAAACTACTTGTTTGGAAAAGTATGATAATACAAACTAGAAAGAAAAATTCTCCAATCTCCATTATACAACTCAAAAGCAAAAAAAATCAAATTATATGTATATTTACGAGTTTAGCGGTCCTTCCCAGCTAAGTGCGTCTTTCTTTTTTGAGACATTTTAAATCAGTTATTTAACTCCACTCATAACACTTTTTTGTCACCATTGTGCTTGGTAGTAATAACATATGAGAATAATGCTTCCTAATATATATCCTCAACCAATTTTGACTTTGCGTACCTTGTTGTGATAATAAAGTTTACACAAATTATGTAGCTCAGTACCACCTAATATCTAATAATAGCACTCTTCAATAGTTTCTTTCTGGCTAAGACACTCTTGAATGGTTTCTTGCCGAAATAGACTTTGGGTAGCATGGTGTGAGAAATGTATTTATTCATTTTTTTTTGCTGGAAGTGTGAAAAAACTTTTTAGAAGCAGTACAATAGGGTGAATATGTCATCTTTTATATGCCTCGTTCACTTCACAGATTTAAGTTTTCAATTCGAGCTGAGATGTGATATTTTCTGAGAACTTTTCACTGTAGCAGTGTGATATTGTCTGAGAGTTTTTTACAGTAGAGACCTAAAATTAAAAATTTAAATCGGTAAAATGAACGAAACTTTAAGAGGCGCAGTTATGGCAAGATAGGAAGTGGGAACAAATAGATTTTAGAACAACCGTTGTTCCATATTATTAATAGTGAGTGCTGAATAGTGACACCATTTGGTGGTAGTCTTTACTCTTAGTGTATTGCTATAATCTTTACTATACTTCTGCCTAACATATAAACACGATGAGAAGCCTAAATATAGGTAGTCTTACGTCCGACGGTGGTAAGGTACGACATGTGTCACATTTTCATATAAATTTATAACATTTTTGTATAATATAGTAACACTTAAACAAGTTACATGTTTTGTGATAAGAATATTTTTATTAGGTCTTCTCTACTCATCATTTCAAGGGTTTGATATTTCACACCTGTGCATTGCTGTCCTGCCCCTTGTGGGAGATTAAGTGGGGCCTCTGCAGACCTCACAGTATAGAAGGGAGTGAAAACTAATTAGATAATCAGTAGAAGACTAGTTCAGACTTTTTCCACATACTCAATGATCTCTAAGATTGTTGTTATAGCTGAAAGGGCTAAGAGATATGAAGTGTACCACTAGATCCCTTTTTTTATTCAGAAAAAAAAAATTACATGTGACATGATAATAGATATATTATACTTCATTAAGTGTTAAATAAAATAAGTGTTACACAAAAACTTAAACGGATGCTACACAGACGAATAATAACAAACTAATATAGTTGCAAGATTGAAGATATTTTCTATAATTATTTATTCAACCTATTGTAAAAGGAATGGCAATAGTTTAGGATAATTAAAAGTTTTTTTTATGTCACATTTACGTATTTTCAATGTCTATATAATGTTAATAAATGTCATATTATACTTAATTTTTATACGTTACAGGAGAAGTATGATCTTCAAAAGCACTAGAGACTTAGAAAAGTCGAATATACGCGCGCACACGTATCTTTCAAAGAGTGATTGAAAAAATCCATCAATGATCAACTTTGTCTCGAACATTGGTGATTAGTGGGATTGTCCATCCAGGGTTATTCAGAGTGATCACAGATGCGTCTCTTTAACATAATCCTAGGCTCTTAGCTAGTAAGGACGTGAGGGCCCTACATTACGTGTCAGATTCCAACCTAAACATTTTAAACCAAAGTGGCAAAGTGGAAATCTAGTGTTCTGCGCGTAAGCACCAAGCCACAATGTGCTCATTCCCAATCAGAAAGTGCTAATAAAACCAAAAGAAGGCGGCAAGGGCCTGGGAAACTTTCTTTGTGTTAGCTGAGTCAGAAACCGGTGTTTGGCTGACAAGAAAATCTTCCCGCAATGAGGAATTCGAATCCCTTGGGTGGATATGGGTCGGTTGGAGGTGGGTCCCTTATGAAAGAGAAGGTGGGCCCTTTGTATAGTTTGGTTTCGGTTTCGGGTTGTGACAAGCCCATGTGCATGCACCTGCCACGTGGGATGTTGGATGATGCTGATGTTGAAACTTGGAACTTTTTTTGCTTTGTTTTGTTCTTCAAACTGGGATAAGGGTAAGAAGGGTTTTAGCTCATACATCATCCTTTTCTTTGCTTATGCTTCTTGAAAGTTTGTGCCTACAATGTTTCATGTTAGGATAGGAACCCCATATTTTTATTTAAAAAAAATAAAAATTTCTTAACATCAACGAAGAAATGGTTTAAGGTATTAATCGGTTTTATTGATTTTTAGGTTGTGAAATTGAATCATGAGAAGAACTGTCAGTGATTAATACCTTATAAAACATTAAATTGCCTAATTATCATGCTCTGAGAAATGAAAAAATTGTCTTCAGAAAAAGCTGGTAGGGTGGGCCGCTATTCTTTATTCTTTTATTTTCTTCTTAGCCAGTTAGAAGCAGTTATTTTCTTTTGCACAAATATCTTTACGTATATACATGTATTGTTTTTGTAGTCAAACGAAAGTCTTGCCTTGAGTTGTATATGAGTTGATAATGATATGCTTTGATAAGGTTCTACTCTTGATTTGAACGCAAGGCGACTTTTTTTTTTTCAAACCTTATCCAAATTTTCATATTAAATTCGGAACTCCAATTTACGTTTTTGTTTTATTTTGGTTTGTCTTTTATCATTTTTTTTTTTAGTTACTATGATGTTCATGGAAGGAAACAGATGGTAATTAATCAAAGTTACAAGGCTGCAGGGACAAACTGAATCTCTCTCCTGTTTTTTTTTTTTTTTAAACAATAAATTAAAAAAAATGAAGCTCTTTCCATATGCAATGCGTAAAGCTTCTATTTTATCACTTTTCTGTGTCCCGCTTAATTTGGTTTTAGCTATTTTTTTTAATTGCAAAAATCATTTTTGTGTCACTTAAAAATGTGATTTTTTTTCCTGAAAAAATAAAACATTTATCCTTAATAGTACATAAGTGTGAATTTTTATCCTTTATTATTGATAAATATCTTTTTGTTAATGTAATTATTTAACTAAAAAAATTATAAATCAAGAATAAAAAGTAAAAATCTTGATTCATGCACTTTTAAGGCTATTTGTGAAGATTATTTTTTTTTGGGCTGAAGATATACACTTCAGGATAAGTTTGGATATAAATGACTTAAACCTAAACTTGATGCTTAAAAGTGGCATCGTTCACTTCGCTGATTCGAGTTTAGAATTCGAGTTGAGATGTGATTTTATGTGAGAGCTTTTTACTGTAGCAAAAAAGTTAGATGTGATTGTTTGTGAGAGCTTTTTACTGTAGAAAAACTCAAATTCTAAACTCGAATTAACGAAGTGAATGGTGCCTGGGCTATTGCGTTTCAAGAAGTGACAGAAATTCAACAGTTGTTTACATCATGAAGAATCTTTTGTGATGACAATATTTTCCCATATTTGAACAATGAAATCGATTAGATGCCATTTGTTTTTTTCGCGGGATCAAATATATACTTATCGTTGAAATTTGAAGCTTAAGAGATAGAAATTGAGTATATTTATTTTGGAATGACAAATTTTCTTTCTTTTTTCTTTTTTTGAAAAGTTGGTATTGACGGTGGATTTTCGCCAACAAAAATAGGCCGGTTTACCTCTGGGTTTCCTGTTGGATTACCGGCTTAAGTATAGGTTATGTGTAGGAGTTTGATGTGCTTGTGGTATTTTCTGTGCAGT